CACACGGAGAAGGTCCCTTTAACAGAAACGTGACAAGATTTTAGAGTTTAAGAACCTAAATCCCTACCCATAGGCCCCATAGTAGTTCCTTTTTGGGACTACCTTACAGGATTCTAAATATGAACCCCCAAAAGGAACTACTATGGGGCCTATGGGTAAAGCCAACTATTCATTAATCCGTCAGCGTCAAGCCCTTTAAAACGCTTAAAGCCTGCACCCCATAAGAGCTGCACCCTAAACCCTAGACCAAACAATAACCAACGTGTAAAAGCGCTAAACCTTGAATCTAAGAAGAGTATCCCTAAGCCCTATAAACCTTAGAAGCCCTGAACCTCTTAAGTATTGAGGCCAAGTTCGTTTAAGAGTCAAACGCGCTTTCTCGGCCTGAGCTTTGGACTGTAATGTTTATACAGGTTTCCTGTGTCAGGGGAGTTTGGCGTTTGCGGGTCTATAGGAGTTCGTGAGTTTTATAGGTTCTCAAGCTTTGTGCTTTTATAGGGTTCCTGAATTAAGAGATGGACTTTGCGAATAGTAGCGGCATTTGCTCGGAAGGCATGTTGGGAGAAGCCGCGGCAGGTGCCTTGCATGGGTGTGGGGCCGGGGGATGGGAGTATGGTTGGAAGATTTGTTTGGGGCACGTTGTGTTGCAACTTGAACCGCCTGGGCACTCTGCATACGTCCTAGGTAGCAGGTATTGCGAATCAGGCCTTTTCCTGATGCAAGCTCTCGGCACTTTAGCACTTAAGGGCTAGCCCTTTGTTTAGGGTACGGCGGCAGAAACAAAGTGGCCGAGTCACACCCCGCGCCCTGACGATTATTGTGCAAACCCATCCCTTCTCTTGACGGCGAATCACAGGAGTCCGAGTCCGGAGCACGACGCACTCTAATTAAACCTCTAACCTCTCCTAATCTACAGCCAAAACCCCAAACCCCAACAGCCTCTAAGCTCTTAACCCCAAATGGGTAGTTCTCTGAATGAGGGGCCCTTTTAGGGTCATGTTTAGAAGGGTGCCGTACAGTTTTTGGGGCCTAAAGGGACCCTACCTTAGAGAACTACCATCCCTAAATTCCCGGAAACCCTAAACGCCTAACCCCTAAACCCGAAAACCCTAAACCCCTAAACCCGAAAACCCTAAACCCCTAAACCCGAAAACCCTAAACGCTTAAGTCAAAGCCCTAAAGCCGAACCACTGCAAGATCCAAGCCCCCGCGGAAAAAATCTTCAACCGCTTAGCCTCAAGCCAAAAAAGAACTCGAAGACCTGAAGCCCCAAGTCAGTGAAGGTCCTAAGAAGACCTGTATAAGTTACCACAACTCCAACCCGAAAGCTCGCAGGTTTTGGGATTGGCGAGTAGAAGCCTGAATGGTCATCAACACTTGGATACTACTATTGCTGTACATTTTAGGGTTTTGAGTCTAGGGTTTAGAGTTTTAGGGTTTAGGATTTTACTTCCACTTGTTATGCGGCTATAGTCCCTCAGCCCTACTAGTAGTCCTTCTAGCACCCTTTATGGCTCTCAATGGGCCCTATTCCAATTATTGACGGTTCAGCTCTAACCTTAAGCCGTACAAACCCTAAAACCTAAACCCGAAACCCTACTTGGAAGGTCGGTAGTTACTTTATAGAGTTGTAAGATGTTATCAATATCACTCCTGCAATTAGGATTCCGTTGAACGGCACTTATAACTCTAGTGGTAACCTACTTACTTAAGCCCTAAACCCTAGAACTCTAAACCCCATAAACAGGGGAGTAACTAGAGTTTCGCGTGGATAGCTTTGGTTGTTTCAATTCACCAAGACCTCGAACCACATGCCTCGCCTGGACTGTCCGAATGTGTGCGCCGAAGCCCTAAACTCAAAGCCCTTGACCCCAAACCTCATAATTCTAAACCTGTAGCCCTGGAGCTCTAAAGCCTAACCCCAATACAATTTTGACCCGTAGCTTAAACCCTAAACCTTAGAACTCGAAACCCCTTAAACCCGTAAACCCTAAACCCCTTAAGCCCGTAAGCCCTAAACCCTGGAACTCTAAAACAAACCCTAAGCGCTAGACCCCTAAACACCTAGATCCTAAACCCCTAAACCCTAAACCCTGCACCCCTAAAAGCCTGGAGGAAACAGGACTGAAGCTGGTCGGAGACCTCAGCCAGGCTGGTTGGCAGTGCCTGGTGCGGCATTGGGCCTCGAAAGGTTTAGGGCTTAGGGTTTAGGTATCATGAGGATTGTGCGTACTTAGCCTTGGGCATCTCGCCACGGGCCGCCACGAGTGCGATGTGCTACGAGGGACATTGGCCGGGCGAGGTCCAATCAAGCCTGCGTAAAAGGGTTTAGGTGTATAGTTTATAGGGTTTTAGGGTTTCAGGCTTGAGGGTTCAAGGTTTTTGGGGCTTTAGGGCGTATGGGGCCGGGTTTAAGTTTTAGGGCTTATAGGGCGTATGGAGCTTGGCTGAAGGGATTCCAGACTTAGTGCAGTGCAGTCCCTGCGAAGGCTTCAGGGCTTGAGCGTTTGATGGTTTTGTCGTTTAGGGCTTTAGGGTTGGAGGGCTTCAGGGGTTTAGGTCTTGACGGGCTTTAGGGCTTTAAGGTTTGTTGGTTTTAGGGTTTACGGTTTAGGCAAAGTGTGGGGCTTTAGGGTTTGATGGTTCAGGGTTTGAGGGTTTTGGAGGGTTTAGGGCTTTAGGCTTATAATAGAGTTTAGGGCATTACAAATTAGTTAAGGATTTGAGAGTTTCCTGCTATGGTTACGGCTTTCAACTTCTCTGAAGCCCACGTCAAACTGAGTTCCTTCAGGCAGCAGAGTCAGTAGAGGTCCTCGAAAAGAGCCTCAATTGTTGACTATCAAGGAGCTGTTACACCCGTGCATCATGAAGGAGTCTGAGTCATGGGACGACCGTCTTTGCAGGTTTCGTCGGCGGCACGTGCTTAATCCTTACAGCAAGCCCTACCTGGAAAGGCTGGTGTGTATCGATTTCCGCCACTTCAAAAAGTGCCGCATTCGAGGGTTCAAAACCGCCACTGGCCCGAGGGTGCAATGTTGCATGGTTTATGGGTCCTTTGATCTATCCAGCGGTCGGCTGAGAAAAGCTTCCAGCTTTCCCACATCCTGAAGCATGCCGTTAAATCTCGCTGATTGCAAAGTTGCACATATCTGGTGTTCTAGAGGAAATACGGCGCATACATGCGCCACCTCATAACTGTGACAGGAATTATGCCCGCTACGTTGCAACTACAGCATGAACTGCTGCCACTGTTGATTGCTGCAGCCTTTTATAGGCAACTTAGGCGCAGAATCCCAGGCTGGCTTGTGGACGATCTTCGAGTTCTCATTTTCATTCAGAAGAAGTCCCAAACCTGAAGGCCTAGGGTGTAGGATCTTAGTGTTTAGGCAGTCGGCCCCAGGTATGTCCTCACAGATGACAGCCGCCGCAGCTATGCGGCATACTTGCCCACGCCATTCTCGAAGGACCAGACGAGGCCCCAACATTGCGTCGAAATTAGCTTTTACGAGTTCAACTCGCATCAACATGAGCACAGTGCTGCACAGCAAGCAGTGTACTGGCTGCATAGGTGCGGTGTAACCTTGAAGTCTTCAAAAAGTTGCTGACCTGCGTGCATGTAGGTTGAGCTGTGTCGGAGCCTTCTCCTATATGTGCCCATCAACTCTTACAAGTGTTCCAGTTTCAATGTTTCGAGCCGCAATCTCAAGAGAGAGCATCGACGCTAGATTTGTCCTACTGGCGGAACGCTTCTGGCATCCGTTTTGGTTGTGCGCCGTGCTTCTGCGCAGGCTATTCTTCAATTCCATCAAGGACCGCTGGCCTGGGCCAGACAAAACACAAAAAATGCACACAAGCACTGTCAAACCTTCAGAGCCTCAGGCCCAAGAAGGGCAGGGTTTGGCGTTGCCGGAGCCCATCCTGATTTGAACGTGAAGAACTCCGGGACCCCAAAACCGCATGGACAGCAAGAGTCTCTAATTTAGGGACCTTATTTTGTTAAACAGGGTTTGGGGGTATATTGCAATACTAGAATTATACTACAAGGGGCCCCCCAAATCCTGTTCTTATTATTAAGGCCCCTACCGTAGATGTAGTCCCCTTGCCGGAGCCTTGTAATTACCCCTAATAGCCTAACCGCACATGCTAGGCCCTCAGCCCGTGAGCCCTACTTGACATACCACAAACCATTCCAAAGGATCCCTTTCTACTTCCGTGGGTGCTGAGAAAAAAATTCGAAGCCCTACCTGGACCCTAAAGAACCTTCCTGTTCTAGGGCTCCTTATTCTGGTTTCCTTATGAAAGGCCATAAGACGGTAGGTTAATTATTTAGGGTCCAGGTAAGCCCTGTAGACCTTCAGCCCTGAGCCATAGAGAGTCTGAGCCCAGTGCTAAACCTAAATCGCTAGCCTTCTCTCACTGTCAGCCCACAACGAGCCGAACATGTGTTTACAGGGCCGGCTGTGCCCTCGAAGCCTTAATCGCGACTGAATTTCGGAGCTACAGTATTCCGTAATAGTCCTAAGCTTTCTTGAGACGACAAAACCCGATTCCATTTGTCCATGCCCTTTCCCTGAAACCTTCCACCCTATCAGCTGTAATCCCTTCTGTAAACCTCTTTGTCAACACAGCCCTTCATTTGTTATTCCTCGTGAATCCCTGAATAATCTTTGACAGCCGCGTATGAGTCTGGAGGATGGTACCGACTGGAAGCAGCCGGAGGGACCGAATGGACCCATTCCCCGCAAGACGGCACTTGGGCATCCTAAATCCCTTCGGGGCACAGGGAGGTTTGGGTTCAGGGTTTAGGGTTTAGGGTTCGGGTTTTGTGGTTTATGGTTTAGGGCCAAGGGTTAAGGGGTTGCTCTTGGTTTAGGGTTTGAGGTCCAGGGTTCAGGGCTTAGGGCTGATGGAAACGAGTGCACAAGGTGAGGAGCAGAGAGATCGCGGTCTTGTTTTCTCCGTAAACCAACCTTTCACACTCCTGACTAACTGAGGCATGGATGGTCTCGCCAGGGGGCTGCAGCTGCACTTATCGATATGGACGAATCGAGGTCGAGGTGCGGATGCCTGAACCCTGCGCTTGAAAAACCCAACCCTAAAAGCCAAGAGTTGTAAAGACATCAGAAACCAACAGTTTTTAAGGTTTACGGTTAGCGTGTAGGGTGTAGGTGAGTTTCTTTTTAAACTACTTGGCTCAAAAGAGCAAAATATAACACCAATCAACAAATCGAGGTGACTCAGCTCGTGCCTTTGAGCCCAAAACCCAACTTTCACGGGTCTCCGGCTCTTCAGGGTTGGGCTTAGGATTTAGGGTTACGGGTTTACGGTTGGTTTGTGGCCTTTTAGGGTGCTGTGATCTTTGCACTTGAGGGCATAGGATTCGGAAAAGAAGTTGTACACTGAAGAACGCTGACGAAGAGACTGCCCGCTCTTCTTAGTAACGCCTTAGTCTAAGTGCAATCACAGCGGGTTTCTCCATCAAAACCTTATAAACCCTAAACCCTGCTTTCGCCCCGTACCAGGAACCCTCGCCTAGGCATGTCCGAGAGTGAGCGCTGAAACCCTAAACCCTAAGCATTTCAGAGTTTGGGAGCCTGAGGCTTTCAGATTGTCGCGGAGCCGAACGAAGTCATGCGCTTTTTCGGGTTTAAGGTTTAGGGGCTTTTTGGTTTCGGACACACCGCCCCTCCCCTACTCCACTCCAGAGAAGATGGGCCCTTTTGAGGCTGTGCCATTTCCGGATTGGATGCTGACTCTTGTCTCTTAGACCGAAGTGCGGGAAGCCAGCAGCGAAGTACTGAACCTAATTGTTTGAAGACCGCTCGTGTCCCAAAGTTCGTCGCAACAGCCCTTAGTTCCTCAGGCTTAGTGCCAGGACGTGTAGGGGCTAAGGGTCTCTGAGGGAATCCTTCCTACGATTCAAGACGTTAGACCGTAATTTAGCGTCACACGGCCTCCTCAAAATTTCTCAGGAAAGAGCTGATCGGGACCTTGTAGTAAGTTGGCACAGATCCCCACACACACACACACTTAACTGGTGGTCTGATTGTCGAACACCCTGTCTAGTTCCCCCAATGAATGCTTCCTAAGTTCCTCCCCAACCTAAAGAGTTCACTTCTGCTCCTTTCCTACAAGCCTTATGCCTGAGGACTCTGAAGGTGATGGGCTTGCTGCTTAGTAGGATTCAGGGCTTCAGGTGCAAGTTCAGAGCTTTACAGTTAGGTTCTTGAGCCAGCCAGAAGTAACAAGGGACGCACCACACACAATAGCCCAAACGGGGCAGCCTCAGGGCCCTCAAACCGCCGAGCTTTTTTACCAAGATCCCGAATCCAGACCTCTGCATGCAACGGCAGCGAGAGAGAGAGAGAGAGAGAGCGAGAGAGAGAGAGAGCGAGAGAGAGAGAGAGAGGGAGGGCGAGCAGAGCCTCACTCATAAATGAAAACACAAAGACAAGAGGACAAACGACACCCAGGAACCTGAATTAGCAAGCGAAAGAGAGTCCAGCGAAGCATAAGTGTTGTTAAGCAGAAAACGAGAACAAGCAACTTGAGAACACGAAGCAGAGGAGCTTTATTCCAGAAAGAACTCCTTGTGGACCCAGAAACAAAGCAACGCGACTCCCAGGAACCTCATGGCCAGCATTATGCCTATGTGCGGCTTCACCGACCGGTCCATGTGGCCGAACTCTTGCGCCGTGGCTGCCTGTCAGTCCTGCTAATACCCGAAACCCTAAACACTAAACCCAAAACCCAAAACCTAAACCCTAAAACCCTAAGCCCTAAACCCTAAAACCCTAAACCTTAAACCCCAAAACCCTAAACAGTAAACCTCTCTCTAGGGTTTAGGTGCAAGGGCCTGGCTTTGGAATTTGGGGAACAGGGCTCGGGGTCTGAGGGCAAAACCTAAGACTGCTGACATCTAAAGCGCCCTATTCAGAGTTTAGGGTCTAGTTAGGTTCCCAGCAGAGGCTCTTGCAGGCTGGATGCAAAAGGGTTTAGGGTGTACACCGTTAACGCCTAAAGCACCGAGAAGGATTGTAAAATTTACCGAGGGACTGATTTGCTTGGTTTTAGCTAGGATCCGGGCTGGTTAGTAATTAGAAAGGACCAGGCTGGCTAAACGTTGCAACTCCTGGACCCATGAAGCGACATTGTTTTCAATCGGACTTTCGGACACTTCGCACGGAGGTGACATATTAATTTGGAGCTACTTTTCTTCACGTTCTACATGGAATAGTCTTACGGGTCTTATATTCTGCACCCTAGCGCGGCAAACGGAAACCCCGACAATGCGATCCCAAGAAAAGCTTGGCTGCTTATGTCAGCACGCAGGATGGGATTTGCGTTCTGTCCCTCTCTCCCTCTTTCTCTCTCTGTTGCTCTCCACACCCTAAACCCGAAACCTCACTGTAAATCCACCCCAATCGGCGCCAATCGGTACAAACTAGAGGTGAAAGCAGATAAAGCACACAAGCAAACAAAGACCTCCCACGCACATACACATCTGAATCTGACTTTGTATAGTGTATCTGTATATACATATATCACATATATATATATATATATGTGTGTGTGTATATATATATATATACATATATACACACATAACAGTTGTAGAAATATGTGCATGTATGCATTCACTTCGAAAGATTCAAGTATATGTGCACCTGGGCGAAAGCAAAGAGCCAAGCCCGCAGTAGCGAGGCAATCTCAACCTGTACGAGGATGGCGGTATGTCGGTAGGCTGGCATTCGGATGACGAGAGCCTGTTTCAGGGGATGCTTGGCTTCATTGTTAAGGATTTGCAGGGCTCCTGCAAATTTTGCGGGGGGTCGGACATTCATGTCCAGGGTTCTGCATACAGGAAGGCTTAGCTGCCGAGTAGGTAAGCAGTAAGTTTCCCCGCCTTGTTGAAGAGCTTATTGTTATTTGGGTGCGAGGGAACTCAGCAAATAGGAGTAGGTGCAGTCAGCCCAACTTGTAGGGAGCATCAAATGGTGGTGGCGGCGTGCCTGGTAGACCTTAAGATCCTAAGACCCAGGCAAGAAGAGCAGGCATTTCGATGCAGGGCTTATAGGGCATAAGCACTATAAGCTGTAGACCTTGAACTCTTCAATCAGAGGACAAGTGTTGGGCACGAGATCTGGTCGATGATTGCAGACACCACGTGGGCACGGTTTGAGGAAACGTTTGTATCGGCCTTGTTGCTAAATTAGGACTACCGCATCTGAGGGTCCTTAGCAAAAGACACTCCGTGGTGCAACTTGTTTTGCTGAAACTCCTGTGTTGGGCTTCCTGTAGCTTCTGGTGAATGCAGACGAAGCTCTGATCCTATAAGTAAAAATCATCATGCGATATACTTGCAGAAAACTTGTTGCAACTACTCCTAGAGTGAAGATGATGCCAGCGACTTCTTTGAGCTTGCATGTGGTCGCACATTTGTGCTCCCTGCGCGAATTCCGGCCTGGAACCCTGCTTACTGTCCTTCAGTTGCTACAACGGAGGGGGGGGGGAGGGCGTGATAAGGGGGCTTTTGCAGTGTCTGCCTGTTGAGCCTAAGATCCGTTATGGTGGGAAACCCTAAGCTAGGAAAATCTGACGACCAAACTGCTGGAGGACAAAGTCTCTGCGCTTCAGCCGTAGTTCTTGAATCCCAGTTCTTGATGGTTGGCATTCGTTGACCTTAGCCCTAACCCTAACCCGAAACCGGCAGACGGCCAGCCAGGCAGATCACCAACAAAGCTTCACTTGCTCAAGCTGGTAATGCACGAAGCAGCCAAAGTCCTAGGTGCTCGAAATACTAACATCTAAGCAAGCTGTCAACCCTCACAGCAAAAGCTCTTCTGAAAAAGAGGCCTATATATGCAACTTGTACGAGCACACGGAAAAAACGACTCCTAACCGTTTGAATCCTGAACCGCAAACCCCACAAACCCCAAACTCAGGAAGTTCATCGACGTGCGAATCATCTCCCTGTCTCTTGGGGCAAGGAGGCCTGTGGGTCCCTTATAATTCAGGTTTTAGGGTATAGAGGCCAGGGTTTAGGGTTTAGGGCGGTCATCAAGTCCGGTTGCAAAAGGGCTTCGGGTTAAGGGCACAGAGTTTCGATAGTCTGGAAAGTGCTGCTTCCCAGCTGATTGGCAGAGTCTGGGTTTCAAAAGGGTATAGAGTTCAGGGTTCGGGATTGGGAGTTCAGGGTGGCGGGTTCAGGGTTTGTAGTTCAAGGTTCAGGCCAGGCTTCAGGGAATCCGGCTTTCAGGGTTTAGGAGTCCTCTATCTTAATGGTCTAGGACTTCTATAGGGCCCTAAACCTAATCCGGCTCAGGGATTAGGAGGTTTGAGTTGTGGCCCCGAGCCCTGACGCCAGTAGACCTAACACACTGAGCCCCAAAGCCCTGTAAGACGTAGACGTTTTAGGGTGTAGGGTTTAGTTCCCTAAAGCCCTGTAAGACGTAGATGTTTTAGGGTGTAGGGTTTAGTTCCCCAAAGCCGCGTAAGACGTAGATGTTTTGGAGGGTTTAGGGTTTAGTTCCTTAAAGTCCAGTAAGACGAATATGTTTTTGAGGGTTTCGGGTTTAGTTGATCCTAGTTTACATGTTTGGGGTTAGCTAAGCCCGAAGCTGCAGGGTAAAGTGATGCTTTGACTACCTTGATAGGGTGAGAGCTTTTGGGCGAGCCGGGTATTTCAGGCCCGGAACAGGCGGCTTAGTGGTGGAAGCTTCGTTGTTGTCAGGTTTCAGGTGCAATTCTTCGCTCTTGTGTGACACTCTGTGGAACTTCATGATCCCATGCCCAGATCCGGGGTTTGAACTGGCGACCCAGGGACAGACGGATTCGGGTTTAAGGGTTAGGGATTGGGTAACCATCAGAGCTGGCGTATGGAGCTTGGCTGAAGGGATTCAGGGCTTTGTGCATTGCAGTCCCTGCTCAAAAAAAACCCTAAACCCCATTCACATAAGGGGTTATAGAGATTAGGTCCAGAGGCCTGGAATGACCTGGAACCCAAAAGCTCAAATGCCAGACCCTTGACTCTAAATCGCAAGCGCACCTACCCACTCACCCATCGGCATTTGCATACAGGCTAAGGTGTAAGAGGGGGAGGGACAGAGAGAGAGAGAGAGAGATAGCCAGAGGGAGAAATCACCCAATTCTTCAACATTTCAAAGCAACTCTTGGGTCTTGTTCATTTACCTGGCTGTTCTCATCAGTACTGTGGTATGCTACTGAAGTCGCATTGTGGCAGTCGTCGAGCCTGATGAAAATCAATGCCATTTCTATAGCTGTGTGTATTCCAAACCCTAAAATCCTAGACCCTAAACACCTAAACCCTAAACCCAATCATGAGTTGTGTTGCCAGTCTTCGGCCGGGAGGAAATTTGAGCTTCGAGCAAACTGGCCCGGTGAAGCTGAGAGGCCGCTGCGTAGTGAGCCTCGTCCACATATGGAGGGGTCGGTTTTAGGGTTTAGGGTTTCACATCTCGAATACCCAACCCATCAACTTGCCTGATTCTTATGGTTGAGGCTGGCTCGTACAAGGGCTTCTGGGGTACTACAGTGGTTTTGAAGGGCCCACAAGCTTTTCTCAATCTTCAAGCCCGAGTCCGAAACCTGAAACCCCCAGTCCTACAGCCACCACCCTAAACCCTGAACCCCAGAAACCTTGAAACACTTAACCCTGAGCTCCGCAGCCCGGAACCTCCAGAAAGCTTCCCTCAAGCCTGTGAGAAACACCACAAGCTCAAGACCTAAAGCCAAACTATAGACAACCTGCACCCTACGCACTAAACCCGAGGTAATGTTGGCCGACGGGGACATGATGACCATGGAGGGAATGACGCAGAAACACTTCCAACATCGCGTCCCTAAGGACGGCGCTCCTGTCTCGGTTCGGTTCTTGGGGGGGGGTCCTAACTTTTCAATCGGTGTCCTGAGGTTTCCCAAGGTTTTCCTATAAGGCTGCAAGATTCTCGGAAGTTTTTTCGCATAGTTAGCTAAACAGTTCCTTAAATGTGTGTTCGACTGTTGTTTTAGATTTTAGTTCCCTCTGAGTCTGGGACAGGGCTCGTTTCCGGGGCTGAGACTTTATAGGCCCATCGGATCGGGTTTCCCCCTGATAGTAAACGGGGGGGGGGGGTATTTCTCCCGCGCAGGCTTTTGCTCCTGCTGCTGCGTCTCGTGCGCCTAGTCCTGATCTTGCTCTTACTCCCGCTATTGTTTTTGCTTTGCTGTTGCTGCTGCTCTTGCTCTAACTCCTGATCTTGCCCTTGCTTTTGCTCTTGCTCTCACTGTGCTCTAGGGGTATTTGGAGCCTCGAAACCCTCCCCCCTAATTCAGAATAGGTTTTAAAGGGCAGGGATTGTTTCGGGAGGATTTGCCCCAATGCGTTTTCATTATTACAGGCGTGTTTAATTTAATGGGGAATCGCTTATAGTGTTCTTAGACTCGTTTTAGACTCTCTGTGCAGCACTGGAGTTCTTTCTTGCTGGCGCCACATTGTAGTCGGTGTATATTTTCGGGCTTGTTGCGAGCGCACAGCCTAAACCCTCGTTTCAAATGCTCAAGCTCCGAAATTTGAAAGAAGCGCGCCTGCCCAGAACTACCCCTCGGTTTTGAGGCTTGGGGCTGTTTTGGCCTAGGTCTTCGTGAAGTAACCCACTAAACTCGTTGAAGGAGGGCCACGTCGACGGCCCCCGGATCAACCTCACATGGAGATGGACGGCCGGAGCCGGAAGGGGAAGTGGAATGGGTGATTCAGGGTTCAGGGTGAAATGCACAGCAAATCGCGGATTTGTTTTGGATTGAAGTGGGGGGAGTAGCATTCTAAACCCTATAAACCCTAAACCGTGTGTACTGAAAAATGCGCGAACCCGAGTCCTACGCCGGAGCTCGTTGAGGCCATTAACTGAAGCTTTAAGGCTTACCTTAACCCACCAGAACCTACTTTTTTGTAGGGTCCCTATAAATCCCATATTAGGGTTTATAATAAGAACCTACAAAAAAGTGGGTTTTTGTAGGTTAAGGTAGGGCTTTTGGCGGAGACGCAGCAGGCCAGTGTCAAAAGGGTTTAGGAGTTTATGGTTTAGGGTTTCTTCTTCAGGGGTACCCGGCAGTTGCAATAGTCCTGGATGCAACAGGGTTTCGGGTTTAGGGTTTAAGGCTTTGGGTTTAGGGTTTAAGATTTAGGGTTTAGGGTTTAAGGTTCAGGGTTTAAGGTTTAGGGTTTAAGGTTTAGGGTTTAGGGTTTCGTGCTGCAGGATTCGACTAAAGGGTGGCCCGAGTCTCAGCTCAGTATCCGACCCCAAAACCTCCAATATAGGCGCCTTTAGTAATTAGAATATTGGGTTTGGGGCTCCTTATAGTGTATAAGAAGGAACCCTAAGGGATAATAGTGGTAATTAATTAGGTTTCTATATTACACCTCGAACCCCTAAGTTTTGGTGGTACATACAGTCCCACCTTGAGCAGGAGATCCGTCTCTGGAAAGTCAAACCCTACTGAGTAGCACCTACTTGGAGGCTTGGGCTACTTACTAAGCAGGGTCACACATACCCGGAATTAGGGGTTACACCCTAAACCCCAAACCCGAAACCTTAACCCTAACATAACCATGGTTACCCTAAAGAAAGCTTACTTTTGTCCCAACTTACCAGGTCACTCGGTCCTTTGATCCTCTACCTGCAAACCCGGCTTCGGGGCTCAAAGTTGTTGCGCAACCCTGCACCTTAATTAATAACCCCTATAAGCCCTTTTTGTTTAGCCCTAAACCCTGAACCGTAGTTATTATCCGAGATGTGAGAGAGTAAACCGCAAGTTTCGATCAAGCCAGGTAAAGCACACCCCCCGCTGCCCAATGAGCCGGCAGCGCCGCTTCTGACAAGGCCCCGGGGCGAACACACGGGGCCTTCACGAATTGAGGGATTAGGGTGATTCTTAGGGTTGAACAGGAGCCCCCCCTCAAGTAAGTAGCCTTTCTTGGAGACCTTATGGTCTGTAACAGAGGATGTTTCGGCTGAAGTTTATTTTTCTTTCGGGCGGGGGGAGTATCGGAATTCAAGAAGAAGAGTCTACGTCTAAATGCCCTATATTCCGAGACACCGATCCCTACACCTCTAGCCCGGCGAAAACTTGATAATAATTATGTGAATGCTTAATAATGATGTCTCGTTATCGGCTCTGTGTGCTTGTACTATGATTATACATGATGTTACATGAATTTAGTTTCAAGCATTCACGCCCTTGTATTTAGCCGAACCCTAAACCCTAAATACCTTAAATCCAAAAGCCTGCACCCTGGACCCTTCCCGAGCCCCCCCAAGAATTCATGGGAGGTTTTGGCTCAGCCCTAGACGGAGATCGACTGAGCCGGGCCCGTCCTTAGCTGTAGTCTCTGCTGGTTCGGGCCTTGGGGGCCACGGGTTTAGGGTTGAGGGTTTAGCCGATTGAGGATTCCAGCTTGGGTTCAGGGTTTAGTATAGAAGCCTAAGTACTTCGCAATATGGGGCTCCTTGTTATAATCATACTATAAAGGTGCCCCAAAACCCCATTCTAAGTATTCAGGCCCCTACATTAGGGGATTAAATAAGGGGTTTCAGCTTCAGGGGTCGTGGAGCCCGCCCGAAATCCTACGTGGTCAGGGATTCCGGGTTTCAGGCTGCCGGTTTGGTTTAGTATCAAGGGTCCGAAGCTAAGTGCCTGTATAGTAGAATGTAGGGTTTCCATAATAGGACTTGCCTTAAGCCCTAAACCCTTACATTTTAGGATTTTGGGAAGTATCCCCCGCAACAGTACCTAGGGCCCTGTCGGAAGTCAGACCGTCAGGGTGTTGGTTTCGAGGCGGCTGCGGGTGTGAGGGGGTTTTCGACTCAAGATGTAGTGGTTTGGGCGCTTCAGTAGGTTTAGGCTTCAGGCGGTTTAGGGTTTCGGTTTTCAGAAAAGGATCTAGGGCTTTGGGTTTTGAGGGCTTTGGAGGTTCGGCGAACCTGAATTGAGCTGGGGATTGCCTGGTCTTCAGGGTTTCCGCGCCGTGGCCCCAAACCTATAAGCACCCGAAGCCCTCTACCCCTAGACCCTAAACCCTGAACCTTAAATCTCAAACCGTAAGACCTAAACTAGGGGCATCTTTCGGCCCCTGAGACGCTCCCAGCACCACGGCAGCTTGACACGGCTCTCTTGAAGGCTCATGGCCCCTAAACCCTAAACCCTAAACCCTAAACCTCTGCCAGCCTGCTTGATGATTACAGAAGTCTCAAATGGTTCGTGGCCACATACTTCGGGTTACCCCGTTTCTTCTAATCCTAGAACATCACAGAAAGCCAGACATTGTGTAGTAATATAGGGGCCTTAATAATTACCTGCATTGTTTTGGCCCTCATTATGAGTACAGTATAATGTAGCCCAAAACCCGATTCTCACTATTAAGGCCCCTACATTACCCTCGAACCCTCTTGAAATTGTTCACGCGGTTGGACGACCTTCTGCTGAGCGTGTCATCCCATGAGCCTTCAAGTTGTCAGTGACGGCTTTGAAAGAACCTACTGTCACGAGATGCTGGGCAGTATTGCTCGCCTTGCAAAGTTTCAGGTTGAAGGGTTGCACGTTCGGGATGTCCGTAGGATGTTCGTGATCTTCGTTGGTTGCAAGCCAGTGCAGCGAAGCTTCTGCACGGTGTGTGTGTGTGTGCCCTAATCGGGTAACCGAAGTCGGGTCTATAGTATAGAGATCCTGAGATTCAGGCCCTTAAAGAGGGGGTTGCATGAACCAAAGGTCGACTCTGCCACTCTTCTATTCTAACTCCACATCTTGTTCACCGTGAACACTTGGTCCCTGGGGGGTTTGCTTGAGCCAGGTTTTCCGCTTGATTCTGTCGTCTAAACCCTACCTTAGCCCACCAGAACCCACTTGTTTGTCCGGTGCCTATAAATCCCATATTTGGGTTTATAATATAGGAACCTACCAGAAAGTGGGCTTGGGTAGGTTAAGGTATGCCTAAAGCCTAAGCACAATAAGCTTTCGCCCTGGATCGAAGCTCGGACCATGGAGCTTTCTGCGGTGGGGTTTTCGGTTTGCAGCGTATGGCTTGCGCCAGAGCCCAGTTACCCACAGAGTATGACTGGATTTTGGGTACTAGAAGCTTTGTAACTATAAGGTCAGGAGCAGTAAGTCACTACGTAGGTAGCTAGGCTCCCCGGGTTGCCTTCGCAGCAGGGTGAGCATGTTCGCGTTTCAGTCAACGAGCCAAAAGCGGAGCTCACAGATGAAGTCCGTGTTGCAAAAAAAACAGCGGGATGGGCTGGATGCCTCTGTTGGCTTGGGTCTTCGATCTTGCAGATGTCGGGAATGTTCGAGTTCACGGAGTTATGGTCGACCCGGGTTTATTGTCTCTCTGAAACCTCGGCTAGGTTTCGACATCTTTCAGCTCCGATGCCCTATCTACACTAGGGCCCAGGCAGCAGCTCGTAAGTTTCATCGCCAAGCGGCCAGATCATTTATGGAAGAGCTCAGTGCCCAACCCGGCGCTATCCGCGAACCTGAGAACTCGCGATCCTGTCTCGCCCCGTGTGCATTCCGAAGGAAGACCGACTACATAAAGGCGAGCATGTCTACTTTGCAACAAAGGCCGAAGACGTCCTCACAGGAATGTCAAACTCACGCATCTATTAAGAACTTATAATAGCAAGGTCCGCCACCATATTATGCCAGCTGTGTCGCTATGAGTGCAGTACAATGAATCTCTTCCCACCTACCTCCTAGGAAGCGCGAATGTGCCCGAAATTTCAATGTTACTGTTACAATCGATCAGGAAAGCCTCCGTTGCCTGGCGGAAGCTTCCGCTACGCTGACGAGCAGCAGTTTGTATTGGCGTCCTCGGGCTCCGATTGATTTGGAGGTCTACCTTTGCTACCCCGACGTGATGATCCCACCTAGCCTGTCCCCAGACCCAAAGCCATCAAAACCTATCATACCCTCCACCCTCGCCCTTCACCAGCCGTGCAACAGGTTCCCACATTGTCACATATCAGATACTAGCAGCACAAGTCTAGGCACCCAGCCGGGCGATATAGACGAGATCAGCTGCCCAGGCAACATCGGCTACGACCACTTCTACATTCATGGCATGGACGGGGAAGTTCGGAATCGGGCGGTTCGGGCCCTTAGGAAGTTTGAGCGGTGGGTCTAGGGCCGGAGATTGGGAATGTCGTGTCTGGAGCATGCTGCCCCGACCTCCGCGAAAACTTGATGCGTGCTTTGTTGCCTTTGTCTTTGATTGTTTTCAGAGCGATGAGATTGTGGAGCACATGCAGGTCATTTTGTCAAGTGTTGGTCTCGGCATGTCTGTCGTATGGAATGCAGGAATATCCGGTTGTCAGCGATTTCGACTTCTCGCTTGGGGTGCCGCGGCCACGTGACGAGGCTGTGGGCTTGGCCGAACCGAACTCCCTGCCCCCCGAAGCCTCAAACCCCACTACGGGTCCTGCATGCCTCGCAACACTTCTCTGATCACAGAGTCCCCTGTACTAGCCATAGCTAGATATACTATAACATACTGCCGTAATTCTCTTAAAATTATGTAAGGTCTCTATATAAGTCTCATATTGTAGTTGCATAGGCATACCCAGACCCCCAAAAGGATCTAAAGAATAGATCCCCTGATTAAGATTAGGGACCCTAACTACTAAAGGGTACTTTATAGGAACCCCCTTAGGGGATCTATTTTTTAGATGCTTTTGGGGGTCTGGGTAAGGGCTACAACGGGATACTACAACTGCTACTCCCAACCCCTATACTGGACAGGGAGCACGGAAGGCACTAGCCAGAGAAACCAAGAGACCCAATAGGAATCCTATACAACAGGATCCTCCCTACATTGTAGCATCCTAAGTAGGATCAAGTGGGACCCTTCATGTCCCCTAAACTAGCAAAAAAACGCGAAACCCGAAGCCCCCCCACAGTAATCCCTAGGCTAGCCCCCTAAACCTCAAACTCTAAGCCCAGTCTAACCCTAAACTCCTAAACCTCCAGGTACCAACTATATAGGGCCTTAGGGGCCCTGGTACACTATATAGTAGGGTTTAGGGTTTAGGGTTTCGGGTTTAGGTAACTGGGGGAAAAAAGGGTAAAACCGTCGCCTTCGGAGGCTCACCTTTGGGCAGTCAAGGCCTTCTACGCCACCACCCGGAACATGATGCTCCTTACGACAGGCCAGGGAAGGTCATCGAGGGGCCTTACAGGATTTTAATACGGTTTTGGTATGTTATATGGTATGGTGCTTTTTGGAACCCTAGAGAACAGAATTGGTAGTAATTTAGGCCCCAATTGTAGGCTTTTGAACAGGTGTAGAGTTGAATAGGGTGCAATATAATGGCTTTCCTTAAGGCTCCATATTGAACCAACCAAAGGCATCATGGACCCACCAAAACCCTATCCCCCTTGTCTTACCCAGGCCCCTATGTCAGGGTGTACGGGTTCAGGGTTCATGCACGCAATGAAACAACAAAAATCATCTACTATAAGCCCCACAGAAAGGCACAAAGGCCCGAAAACAACCAGGTGAGCTCGATCAGGGATCTCTTCCCTCCGCCCTTGCGGCCAACCTTTATGCAACAAGGCCGCTGGGGCTCAGGGTGCAGGATTTAGAGTACCGTTTTTTGGTTTTTCATGTGCTGGTTGAGCCATGTTCGGACTATGATGCGGGGTTCGGGCCCCCTAAACCCTTATAAGACCCCTTGATTCGAGATTTCTCTTTGCGTTTGCGGGGTTTGAGCCCCCAAGGGTTTTTGTTGTAAGGGCAAATTGCCCTTCCTTTTTGGAGAACGGCTGGGATGGCAAGACGGGTGCCGCCGTATCGATAGGCCATACCTTCGCGTCGTTTTGAAGCAGAGCCCTCAACCGTTCAGGCACAACAAAAACTTGAACTTTGTATTTACTGTACAGGCCCCAGCCCCAAACCCAAACTTAGACTAAAGTCCTAAACCCGAAACCCGGAGCCCTGACACCTAAGCCCAAAACCCTAAACTCGAAGCTATCCCGCCGATCATCGCGCCCTGGCCCTGAACACCCGAAGTCTGAAGTTCTCAGCGGTTTAGTAAAGGTTTAGGATTCAGGGTTTAGGGTTGTTTTGCCTACAGCCTAGGCTTATAGGGCTCGTGCTCTAGGTTCTGGAGTTTTGGGGTTTAAGGTTGTAGTTCGCGATGGAAAGGACTAAACCCTAAACCCCAAACCCTAAACCCTAAACTCCGTGAACCCTAAAAGGATACCATGTTTTATGAGATGGGTTATACTTTCGGTAGCTTGGGCCCCCGAAGAGCCGTGGTGCCTTGCAAAAAAACCCGAGAGGGTCCATATACAGCACCATGAGGGAATTGGGCTTCAAAAGACCATCATTATTGTGGTTTTTGGTGGCTTAGTATATATGGACCCTCTAGGAAAACGATTTTGTCGTTTATAGGGTTTAGGGCTTGCAGGGTTTAGGGTTTAGGGCACCCGATTCATCAGCCGCTTGAGTGATGGTGCCTTAATGGGGGTTGCTGCAGTCAAGGGTCTATCATCTTAAGCCATGTGATAGTAGGATATAGCCTTTGATAGATGCTTCAAGGGGTGTGAGGGTCCATTGTTGGCTCGAGCATCTCGCCAAGCACTTGGTTGAAGTCTACCTTGAGCTGCCCCAACTTACGCCTTGAGTAAAGGTCATGAAAACTCAATATGAGGCTTTAGCGGCCTTGTGATAACACCATATAGACAGGCAGGTTGTGGTAGCTGAAAGTGTTTTGGCCCCATAGTATATAGATCAGGCTTTCTGGGCTCAGGGGCGCGGGGAACACTCTTGAAGGTGTAGTGAGCAGCACATGAATTTCGGTTAAGCCCGAGACCAACCCTAAAGCCCAAAAACCGTCGCAGGCATCAAGAGTCATCTTGTTTTCACACCGACTGCGCACATGGATCCTCGCCTGGCTTGTCCGAGTTGTGAGAGTGTAAAAAACCATGTAGCCCTCGGTGCTAAGAGGATGCCACTTTGAATCGTCGGCGTGCTCTTTCAACGGTTTAAGGTCAAGGGTTCGGATTGTTGGATAGAGTTTACGGTTTCGATGCTGTAGAAAGCTATCCGGAGTTTTTCATCCCTTTCCAGGAGAGCCCAGTGCCCCTCAAAAGAGGAATGCTCGGCGACCTGTAGCTTAGTGTGCGTAGGTCTAAGAAATCGGCGCTGGCCTCCCCGCATGAGAAGGCCATGGTTTTTCTGAAACAGAAGGAGAATTAGCAGAACCCGTGCTGCAGACCGCGCTCCTGAAGTACCTTCGCTTCCCTAACCCATGGCTGCCCCGGCTCTTTGTGTAGACGAGGCCACCAGGCAAAAGGTATTGAAACCCTTCTGACCTCGGAAGTCCAAAGGAAACGAGAGACACAGTGGTTGCCTCAAGTCCTTAAGCCCTAAATCCCTAAATCCCTAACCGCCAAGCCCCAACGGAGATGAGCAGGCGCTTGGTGAACGTGCCCTTCATGCTTCGCGAAGACTGTCTGGCTGTTGCGGAGGTCCTTGCCGCAATCACGTTTTTCGGCGTCGTGTTTAGGTTGCTATGGTTGCTGAGTATGGCGGTGCTCCAATTTCGTGATTCTTTCGTTGTCCAAAACACGAAGGTTTGTCCATGGGAGCGCAGCCAGAGCATGTACCAATGTGCCATGGGCGGAGCTCTAGCTGACAGTGCTGCACATTATCCTGAACTCTTGGTCCCTCAGCTCCCAAAACCCTAAAGCGTGGCTTCTGCAGGTTCTGATCATCAGTACATGGCGGGCTAGATAGTTCCTCGAGGGACGCAAGGCCTAAAGTCACACTCATAGTCCTCGCATCACTGGGTTTAGGCTTTTGAGGTTTAGGGCTTCTGCTTTCGGTTCCTCCAGGACCTTCAAACCCATCCTAGTCTTAACCTTTAAGTTTATCAACCCTGAACCCTGAATGCTACTAGTAACCCCTGATACCACAAACCCTAAGCCCTCATCGTAATCTGTGAGCTCCGAACCGAACCCTAATCCTAAGCTCTAGCCCCCCTGAATTTATAGACCTTCAACCTCGGTCGTGAAATCTTGAACCCTCCTAACCTGCACCCCGAAGCCTAGACCCTGACTTCTGAACCTTACAGCTTGAACGGTGAACCCTACTACACGGGCCATACTACCCGTACGTGGTAGAACAGAGTTTAGAGTATAGCAGCTCTCAGTATGTATGTACTGATTACAAGGTGGCGGACTGATTGCTACTGGTTCAGACCCAGTCCAGATCCCTTGTTTTGTTCAATATGAGGTATACAGGCTCAGGCATATCAAATGCAAATCGTCGTGAACTATTCAACCCCTCAAACCTTGAAACCCTTATGGTAAACGAACGCATAAATGGTAACCGTCACTGTTCGAGCCCGAGAGCCACCAGGGCTCCCCCAGTCCCTGCTGAAGGCCCAGAGAACTCACAAGCTCTCCTTCGTCGGATCTGTGCAGGACCCGAAGCAGAGTCAGTGAGGGCTGAGGGTCTATAATATGGGATTTATAGGGACCCTACAAAAAAGTAGGTTTTGGGTTCTTATTAAGAACCCCAAACCTACTTTTTTGTAGGGTCCCTATAAATCCCATATTAGGGTTTATAATAAGAACCTACAAAAAAGTGGGTTTGGGGGTTCTTAAGGTAAACCCTAAACCCCACACCCTAAACCCTAAATTGAGGTTCAAGGGTCAGGGTAATCCCGGACTAGACCGGGCTGCTGGACAATGAGGGCTGCTGCAAAAAGAGGATGTAGGGATTACGTCTCCAGAGTTCAGAGATTTTGGCCTTTTGGCATCTACGGTTTTGGGTTCAGGTAGTTTGCGGCCAAAGGATTCTGGAGGGAGATACAGCGGAAGGCTCTGAAGGCATGGTTTCGAGCCGCGGCCCCCTTGGGTAAGTGTTGGCGACTGTAGCAAGGGCTCTACAACTGATACTGTCAAGCCGTGGATGCAACGAACTACAAAAGTTGGAAGGCATCCGAGCCCTTGGTGAAAAGCCACCAGGACTGTATCAGCATGATCTAGGGTACGCCCAGATTTTCATCCTTCCCGTAAGCTTCCACGCCGGTCCCTAAACTTAGGCTCCTAAGCCTAAACCCAAAGCGCCGGACCCTGAACCCCGAATCTCAAAACCCTAAACTGGCCCTGAACCCCCCCAAAAAGTGCCAACCCGCGCCCCTGACAGGATCACAACCATGAGCGGATGCTTTTTCTAAGGCTGGGCTGGGACTCTTCGGACAGCGGCTGCAGGCTGCAATAACATGGAGTTTAGGGTTTAGGGTGTAGGTGTAGGGTTTAGGGTTTAGGGTTAGGGTGTAGGGTGTAGGGTTTAGGGTTTAGGGTTTAGGATAGTTAGTCTTAGTAATGCTGTAACCCAGGGTTTCTTATCCTTATCATTCTGAAAAAGCCCGATACTTCTAGAATACTCTGCTCAATGCCTCCAATGTAGTTCGATTTTCGGCTTTCTTTTATTGTAGGATTTCACGTGTATAACAGTTAATAGCATAGATTAAACCCCCAAAAAGGAATCACACTGGAGACTACAGGTACCACTGTGCAAGCCCTAGTCCGAAAGCCTTAAGACACCACAAAGCCTGCTTCCCCGCCTCGTACAAAACGACAGCTCTCTATCACCCGGAGTTCTGAACGCAGGGCGTCGGCGCTGGAGTTCGGAAGCGCCCTCACAAAGCAAGCGGAAGGACGCGGTTGGGGCTTTCGGTTTGTTTACTGTAAGAAGCCAAAATAATTACCAACATTGTTCACGGGGTTCCTTATCATAACCTTAGTTATAAACAACTCTCGCATTATTAACTACGAGTACAAGTACTCCAAAACCCTCTTCTATTTTTTATTAACATGCAAGCCCTAAAGCCCTCTTGATCCTTGTAAAGCCTAAACCCCAAACCCTCTTAACCCTAAACCCCTCTTAATCCCCATAAAGCCTCAACCCCAAAGCCTCTAAACCCTAAAGCCCTAAGGAAACACTGGGATTCGAACTCAGACTTTTAGAGTCGATGCTTGGCATACCGGCGATGCCGTGTCCTTCTGCAGCTCCAACGGCAGTGCGCTGGCACCGCCAGGTGTCTGGGATGCAGTACGCTGCGCATGCTCTGGGCGAGAAAGGCCGCCTACAAGGTGAAATTTCCGCAGACGCTGCGAAGGAGCAAGGCTGGACTCGCGAGGAGTCAACTTGTCAACTCGCTTGCTATACTACGAACATCCAGAGCGTTCACTTGTACAGTGCTGCGAGCACTCGAGAGGAAGGCAACCACTAAAACGTATGGCAGGGCTCGTTGTGCTGTTGAGCTTGCATGTGCAGTTGTTTCACTTTGACGTTGACTCATCATTCGCCTCGCCTGGATTGTCCGAGTGTGAGAGCCGAAAACGTATGGCGCCAGGATGCTGAAGATGTGAAAGTGGTCCCTGCCTTTCAGCCAGAAGGGCCTGGAGAGGACCGGCTATACTCCATGGCCTTTGATGGCGCCATCGCCCCGACGGCCAACCGCGAGAGTGTCACTTGAACAAAGCTGCCTTTGTACAAGGCGAAGGTGGAGCAGACATGTGAAGGACGAACTGGTTGAGAGGAATACCCTAGAGTCCATTCGATCAACGAGGCCTGCGGCTCACTTGCGGCCCTTTTGGCCCACGGAGTTCAAGTCGTTGTCAGGGGTTTCGGATGACTGGTCTATCTATGCCATCTATTCATGGTCTTTAAACAGAGGTAATACTGGAGCCGCGGCTGAGGCCCTGTCGTTGACACTGGCAGTTCGTATGCTCTCACAGAGGATGGCAAGCGGATCTTACGAGAAGGCACGGCGATCTCAATTACTAGCAGGGATGAGGCTGCGAAGAGAATGGGGGTCGAGGCACTTGATCGACTCAACCAGCTGGCAAGGGCTGGTCTGCAGGCCGCAAGTAAGGATATCCCTCCTATGAGGGCCTCGGCCACTATCAGTCAAACCGCTAAATACATCACCAAGTCTGCATCAGCCGCGGCCTACAGGGCCCTTTCTCTCACAGGCGGGATATTGCCGGCAGCTTCAGGTTCACTTAAGCTCGCGCGAGCTCGAGCCAGATAGAGCATGTTGCACCTTCGTCACTTCAGAGCACTTCGTGTGGGAGCGGACTTTATGTCTGGGTCAGTGGTGCAGAGCAGAGCCGCATGGAACACTGCCTATACGCATACACGGAAGCCTTCACTGGGCTGCTGCCTGCAACTAGCACGCATATGTACGCTTCGCCTGCCTTGATCACCGGCATTATAGTGGTAGGTTGGCACTGGCGGGGGGTTGAGGGTTGCTCAAGTCTGGATGGTTTCGTCTCCCCCTGCTGTGGGCGAGGGTGTGTGGAGTATCCCTTACTTTCTTCGGTGCTGGTTGCGGCGGAGTACAATGTACATATACTGCACATACATACCTACCTGCCTACCCACCCACCTACCTACACACATCCGTACATCCAGGCAGGCAGACATGCAGGCAGGCAGGCATCCAACCATCCAGCCATCCAGTCCTAAACCCTAAACCCTAAACCCTAAACCCTAATCCAGGGGCACGAAGGCCCTCCCAGGGCTCGGGGTCTCCAGGACGTTGAAGGGCGTTATAAGCGCTGTGCCCCGGTGATGCAAAAGCGCGCGCCTAAGCTTTCCTAGGTAGTTTTAGGGATACCCTTAAAGGGAACCCTTCTGAAGCCTACTTCATGTCTTTCTTAGAGGGGATTTTATTGAGAGGGTCTATATCCCCAAGGGTCTCCCTAATCCTCACTTTTAAGTTGAAAGCCTTGAGCCCTACAACTTCGTGAACCCGAATCCAAGTAGCCCTTACACCTATAATCTCTAGTGTTTAGACTTCCAGACCTAAACATCGACCTTCAGTCGCAAACCAATCAACCCCAAACCCAAGACCCTGATTTTTGTGGACCTGAGCCTCCGAAGAGGATTTCTTTGGTCTGTGAATACTGCGAAGCTCTTTCTCCGAGCCATGTCCCCAGGGCGAGTACAGGATTTAGAATTCGGGTGCAGGGTTTAGGGCTCCGAGGTTTTATCCCACTGCCACAAATATCGCCGAGACATTCTTTAGTGTGCCCCGGTCGTCTCCGAAAATTCTCAGCCTAGGAGTAGAGCAGTGCAGCAGTGGTAGTGGCAGAAGGATTGGGGGAGTAGCAGGAGGAGCAGTAGTAGCAGTAGTAGTAGTAGTAGTAGTAGTAGTAGTAGTAGTAGTAGTAGTACTGTAATACTTTGTACTACTGCTACTGCTACTTCTGCTGCTTCCGCTACTGCTGCTGCTGCTACTACTACTACTACTACTACTAGTACTACTACTACTACTACTACTACTACTGCTGCTACTTCTGCTACCGCTACTGCTACTACTAGGCGCCCCCACCATTACCAGCCACCTCTGCCACAAACCCCCTTAACAGCACATCCGTTATTCTCTGTATTTACTGTACGTTCGTCGTGTCATACCACTTCTTCTTGCCTCAAAATCCACTCCTGGATTTTGAAAAAATTTGGCTTCGGATTGGGGTGGGGGGGGGTTTGGGGGGGTGGGGGGGATGATGACGATGATGACGACAGAGTTACACAGGCACACCGAACAACATCTCCACAAGAGCCGTTTTATTCGGTATTTACAGCACTTTTGTGATGTCGGACCCGTTTATATATTCACCAAACCTACTTCTGCACTTTGCGAACTCGACTCTGGGATTTCGGCGAAAACTCGAAATTGGGTGGGGGGGAAGCTTTTTCGGGGGATGATCACGACACTGTTTCCCGGACACCGAAAGAACAATATCTCCACACCTAGCGCGCACGCACCACACAGTACTTCAAAAGCCTCCTACGCCGAGGTCTGGGCTTTAGGGGTGTTGGCAAGCTCCTCCCACGTACAGCTGGCATCTTTTCTTTTGATATTTATAAGATGTTGCGCTTCAGGTTTTAGGAGTGTTAAAACCTTCTTGGCGGCACCTGCGTTTTGCAGGGTATTTACAGCGTTTTCGTACTATCCAACCGCCTGGGCTTTAGCAATTCCTTTCTCGTCGAGTTTGCAAC